AAAATGCTTCTTCCACTGGCGGTGCTCTGGCGATCGAGCCGTCTGATAGAAAACTGGACAAAAATTCTGCAAAGAATAGCGGCTCGACGATGTCACCAAAGTCTGTTGAAAAACAAGGGTAAAAATTGAAAATCGCTAATTCTAACGAAAAAGTGGCATACATAACTACAAGTATAGTTAGACGAGCGCAATATTGGCAGTTTTTAGAGATAATGGTACCTTTTTCTAATTCTCTCTGTATTTGCCTTGATATGCTTTTTTCATGCTGGTGCTCTACAGTGCGTAGATAACCTTTACAGCACGTCATTTTACAATTAGGATTAAGAATACGCCATCTTGGTTCTAGTTCCTCAATTGTTAAGGCAGGTTAAGCTTGCAGTTAAGGTTATTTCATCTCGCTTTTGTGCTTCGTGTTTTACACATGGCTGGTTTATGAAAAAATGAGATCCTTTTGCTATTAATTTTTGTGCGTTTTTGCATATTAAGAGGTTGTATGTGTGCGTGTTTGTATACATTCCCGTTTTGTCATTCACTTTCAATTCGGCAACCAGAAAAGCTAGGAAGCTGAAACTTTATGCCTTTGTTTAACATGAATCAATCTCAGTTTTAAAGCATGCCTAATTCTTGCGTGCGCGCAAGTGAATATTTAGTTTGGGACTCTTTTGGCACTCAATTTATTCGGCAGCCAGTCCGAGCAGGATGTAGCATTTCTCTGAGAATGTTTGTTGTTTATGTGTGGGGCACCAAACGTAAGATGAGGTTCTGCCTAGGCATGGGCCTTTTGTACAGACGCATCAAATGTTCAAATTGCAATACCGCAGTTACATCCCAGTAGTGTAGATGATCTTTCTACAAGATGGGATCATGCAAAAGCGTGTAATCGCACCAACAAGCTTGGTATTTTGCTACCGAGGTTGCATTATAGACCAAAAGAGACGCCAGCTGCGCAAGTTCCTGCACCGCCAGCTGCACGAGTTCCTGCACCGCCACCTCCACCACCGCCACCTGCTCCAGAATTTCTCAATCCTTCGTTGATGCGAAATAGGAAAAGCGCTGATTCACCGGTGGTTGTCAATTCAGTAGCCGTTTACAAGTGATTTTTTCAACTTGTTTCATTATGTTGGATGAAAAGTGTTCGTAGATTATCCGTCGATGTTCTTTTAAAACTTCGGGTTTTTTATAGAATTCAAACAGCCAGAATAATCCAGAAAATTGTGCTGTCTGATTTAGAAACAAATTTTTGCAAAGTACTACTTTATAGTGCTTTTAGTATGTTTATTAATCGTTTGAATTTTTTTCAATTTTTATGAAAATTTGAGGAAGAAATGTGCTACTAGTACGGTGTTTTGGGAAGCGATAAAGCCGGAAGCAGTGGTGACGAAAGCCACTATTTGGAGCGATCAGAGCGGTACAAATGCTGAATTCAAACAGAGCGAGCGCGAAAGAGTTAGTAGAACAGCCTTAATTTTTTGGCATAAATGTATCTTTAGCTTACACGAAAACTATTGACATGGCATTATTTCAGCTTCCTGGGCCCAGTTTTTATGCGTTTTGTGCTGAGCAATAACCGCACAAAACACATATTGTCCCTGGGTTGTCTGTGTGTGCGTTTGTTTGATGTCCGCAGCAAATTGTCCGCAACTTCCAATTCGGGAACCTCGAAAGCCAGGAAGCTAAAAATTTAGGGGAATGTTTCACATTCACGTATGACCTCGCAAGCTTAAATTCAGCTTCCCGGCACCAGTGGGTAGCACGTACGGCCTCGTAAAACTTTTGGCGAGGAAAATTGTTATCTCGGGAACCACGGGAGCTAGGAAGTTAAAATCTCATGAGTATGTTCGCTGCAGATGTACGACCGAGGAAATTTCAGTTCAGCCTTTCCGTACCTGCGAGTATCACGTGCAGCCCCGTAAAACTTTTGGCGGACATTTATTCAGGAACCACGGAATCTAGGAAGCTAAAACTCCAGGGTAATGACCCCTGCCGATGTAAGAACTCGCAAATTCTGACGTAGCATTCTCACGCTCTCGGATATCACCTATGGCCCCGTGAGAAATTTGGCGGACAAATTATTGTCTCGGAAACTATAAAATGCAGAAAATTGAAATTACGATGATATCCCTCGTCCACATTCAGTCCCGCAAATTTAAATCTATCCTTCCCGCAGGGCCGAGTATAATAAAGTTTTAGCGGGGAAAATTATTATCTTGGGAATTGCGGAAGTTCGGAATCTGAAATTTTAGGGTGATGTCCTCTACCAACGTACGACCTCGTAAATTTGGATTCAGCCATTACGCACCACTGGCTACCACATACGGCTCGGTGAAAGTTTTGGTTGGGGGAATTGTTATCCTATGAACTGCAAAAGCTAGAAAGCTGAAATTTTAGTGTGGCATCCTCTGCCCGCC